GGGGGGGGGGGGGGGGGGAGAAGACAGATATCAGCCACACCAAACGCTTGGGGACCCCACCCACCCTCCACCATCACCACCACCACTCTACCCAATGACATTTTCCCCGCAGGGCCAGACCCAGACCAAATCACCCACGCATTAGTGCCGCTATTAGTCCCGTGATTAGGATGAGGAATGGTTGGATGCCTAATGAGCGAGTCTGTGTGAATGACTGTGTGCTCTCTGAGCGCATGCATATACGTGGTCTAATGAGCAGCAGCGGACCCCCATGATGCCTGTGACTGACAAGAGGGAGAAATTGCAGAAGAGGTTTGGGAGTGTCATCAGTAGAGGGATCGGAGAGGTTGGGAAGGGGGTTGATGTCTCATTCATGCACCTACACAGGGTAAACACCTGCATGTACACACACACACACACACACACATCTTGGGGATCATTACTCAGTTTGCCTGCAATCTCCTCTGAGCAATTGAGGAGCTAATGACATAATTAGGGTCTGTATTTAAATGAAAGCATTGCAGGAGGTGGAATCAAGGTAGGAGTGAATGCACAGAATGGACCACTGTGTGGGTATAAAAATGCATGTGATTTATTTAAACATTAACGTGTGTGCTGGAAATTCAATCTATGCTGATTAAACTCTAATGGAGACTAATGGAAGAAAGGAGGAAGGGAGTACAGAACTTTTTTAGGGGGTTTAGGATAATGTGTGTGTGTGTGTATGAGATAGGGAGCGGGGAAGATGACAGATGGAGAAAGCAACTCGGGAATTTGTGTGTTTGCGTCGCAATGAGCGTGATAGTCTGTGTGTGTGAGTGTAACTATGAACTATACCCCTTTAATAAAAAGCGGTGAGTTGGAAAATTGCATATAAATCTGTCTGAGTCCAAAGCTGAGTGGCTGGGGAAAGCCAAAACACAGAGACACAGTCAAGACAGCATACTGAGTGTGGAATCGGCTTGTCCCTGACCTACATTCCACTGCTGCGTAGGAATTCAATCCACCTGCATGATCACCAATTATAGCAAGTACCATGACGGAGGAGCACAAGTCTAGTAAATTAAAATAAAGTAAAACTATACAGTTAATATCTTCTGCTACCGAGCCCGATTAATCACGACAAGCAAGATATTACTTGTTGGCCATTGTGATAAGTTATTAACTGGCAGTTTTTAGATAAGTCTTTAACTGATTTTTGCAGTGAATTAGTGTGTAAGGTTATAAATGTGAGCTCTTTGAGGCCAAGTTATGAACTTCAGTGTCTGAATTAGATATTAATGCCGTGACATTTGAGTTCGAACCATCGCAGAAGCCAGTTTGATGTCTCTGACCAAAGACATGAAAGAACAGACACATCACTTTCTACTGCCACCTGTCATTGTGTCAGTTTGCCAGCAGATCACAAGTTTGGCTAATAAACTGAGGCAAGTAGCCTATCTTCTTAAGCTGGGAACAAAGTGTAAACACACTGAGCATCTGACGACTTTATTTTTTCATACTGTCATAAAGGTGACACTCTTCTTAAGATAAACTGAGTGGAGCCCTTATGTCTTAATAAAGAAGACTGTGGTCCATATATATGCATCTTCAGGGTAAAGACACGCCTATTCACTTCCCTGCAGAGTTAAATGAGAAGATTGATACAACTTTCATGTGGGAAATGTAATTATGAGCTTATCTTATCATAAATACTGGTTCCAGCTTTATATTTAGCATACAGACAGTGGTATTGATCTTCTCTTCCAAAAATAATGAACTATTTCTTTAATATCAGAGGCGCTGAGGCACATGCAGTACGTTCAGTGCTGGGCTGTGGGAGAATTAAGGCTTCTTTTCTCTCTCAGTTTTTTCTGTTTAGCTTTTCTTTTACTGTGAACTTTTGAGATTGACATATTGCCCTTAGCATTAGCTATAACATTCAAACATCACTAATTGACAGTGACAACTCATTGCCATGGTAATGACTTTACATCTTGCGATTGGACTGGAGGCAACAGACATATAAAAATTGCACTCTGTGTAGTCTCACAGTCTGTACGAGTGTCACACACTGTACACGTACAATCACTAATAACTATATGGTTAAGTTCCATCACAGTACCAATGTTCAAATACCAGGAAAAACATCCTTACATTATGTAATAAGTGGTCTGCTCCGGATTAAAATAAACTGCCTGCTTTAATGTGTTAATTGGCTCTGGCAACTCCCGTCTTTTGATCCACTATCTAAAAGGATTGAAAGTTTTTTTAACTGAATGCATTTGCACTATGTCTTTGCCTATTTTGATGATGAAGACAAAGCAGTGTTGAAACATCAAGCCTGCAGCCGGATTTAGATGTCCAGCTGCAGTAATGGAATATGTGTGAATCTCTTCTCTCTTATCACTTAAAACATGGAAATAATTTTTCCCTGCCCCTCATCTCCAGCCACATTTCGGTTTCCCCAGACCTCTTCATTGCCTTTTTCTTTTCATCCGCCAGGTGCGCTCAAACTTTTCCTCTTTCCCCATCATCTGACTCCCCATCCATCTTCACACCTGTTCCCTCATCTGCTGTGCATTCCTCCTCACCTGAATCTCATTCCCTGATCAGCCACTCTCTACACATACCAATCCACTTCCTTTGTTCCTCTGTCAGTTCGTCAAAGTCGCAATAATGTTCTGTTGTTTCAAGCCATTACTTTTAAGCATGTTTCCTGGAACCCTGTCGCCTGTTACCTGCCTGCCTTTTTCGTGAACCTGTAAGCCTTGAACCTTATTTTTGTCATTAATTAATGATCTCCACCACCTCTGCCTCCATTGTCTACATTTGGGTCCTATTCCTGTTTTTCTGCTCACACCAGTCATGAACTTTCCACACTTTCTACATGTTATTTTTCCTGTTAAGTGGCTTACACTGTGGGAGAATATCAAGACTTGATTGGATTATCTGGCCTCAGCCCAAAATTGACAACACCTTATTTTTTAAAACCACTGTAAAGCAATGGTCAACCTAAAAGTTGTACACAATGTTTGCAGCAGGCCTTAGTTCGAGATCAAGGAAGGGCAGCTGTCTCCAGGGGAAGTCAAAGCGTTGTGATTAGAGGACAGAGCATTCTGAGATCCAGAGTCTAGTTGAGAGCTGAAGTGTGAGTGGCCGGCAGGTCTGAACTCACTTGGCACCCGATTGATGGCTCTCAGAGGTCTCAGCACGCGAACCGTCCTCACCGCAGAAAAGTTGACGTTCTGCAGGTTGAGGGAGTACTCCAACATCCTGCAACATATGGAGAGAAAGAATGAGAATATGTGCAGACACGGCAACAACAAACCAAATACTTCAATTATCACCGCTTATACTGCAGAACCTGCTCAATCATCTGGGAATAAAAACACAGAAAATGTAAGGGAAATATTATGTAGCCAATTATATGTTGCATGTATTACATGCTCTCCCACTCTCACTGGGAAAGCGGTAATTAATCCTCTAATGTCCCGAAACACATTTACATTCTTGCCTTTGGAGATAGCTGCAATACATGTGTTCTGGCAAACAATATGCTTTCATTCCAACGCTCATTGGCCTGCAGAAAGTTAGAAAAACACCACACACACACACACACACACACACACACACACACACTGCAGTGCGTGAGTTTGTGGTTGTACATGGAGCGCGGCATACACGCAATGTTTGTGTTCCCAACAAACAAACGCATATATCCACACGCACAATCAACCTTCAAAGGAGTAGGCGGCGTTATGTGCATCCCCTTTGAGACGTCAAGAGCGGGTGAATCACTCGTCATTGAGAGGAGGAAGTGGCACCAACAGTACATAAAAGAGCAGCATCAGATCAGACTGCCTCGTAACCTTGAGACGGCGCACACACACACACACACACACTCAACAGCCTCTCCAGCCTCTCCAGCCTCTCCAGCAGCTCTTTAGAGACTCTCTCAGGCTGTGATGGAAGGTTAGAAGGACAGCTCTTAAAGGAATGAGTGACTACGGAATGCCTGAAAAAACGTTTTTCTTGTTTCTTGATCAGTGTTTATCGTCATCTCTTCTCACTCTCTCTCCTCGTGTGTGTGTGTGTGTGTGTGTGTGTGTGTGTGTGGAGCAGATGCCGAGCACATGTGCAGCTTGAAGGGGTGTGCAGATGAAGGAATTCCCTCCTCGCACCAAGTCCAAGTCTGTCTGTCTGAAAAATTCGCAACACATGTTGGACTGTGTGTAAGTGTGTGTGTGTATGCGCAAGCGGGTTGGTCACCTTGAGTGCAAGAATCTCCCTTAATGAATGTATTAATGTGTGTGTTCTCTTCTAGCACTTTGAGGTGTCCCAGTAGAACCCATTGCTGGTTTGTTACAACAAAGCAGCACTAAAACAAAAATGCCCACACACACACACACGTACACATACTGTATGTACACACACATACCCAGAGCTGAGCTGACAGATGGCCTGGGGGCTACAGAGACACGGTAAATGGGTAAACAGTTACCATAACAGCACAGAGATGCCCACCCATCACCAGTGGAGAGACGTGGATCTGGTAGTCCCATCACATCAGAGAGTAAAGAGAATATATAATAGGGTGTATATAATATATTAACACCCCATTGAAAACTCTTAGTCCCAACAGGAATATGAAGGTTAATATCATATACCATAGGAAATGAAAAATAAGATATTATATGTAAGAATTTTTGTTGAAAACGTTTAAAAATTAACTAAAATTATCAACAGAATGTGGGGAAATAACAGTTTTGACGTTAGGTCAAAGATGTCTATGAATTGTGTTGCAGAGTTATATACTGAAGTTAGCATGCTAACCATCGAGCTCGGCCTGTGCTGGCTGATAATACCATTTTGCACTTCAAGAGGCGATAGTGAGTCACTGTAGCGTCTAGTTTGCTACCCTCAGTCCAACATGAGAGAATGAAGTAGCGCTTCCCCGAGGTCAAGAAATCATGTAGGGTGGCAAAGAAAAAAGTGACCGAAATAGAAGCTAAAGAGTTAACATTGGCGTTGAAGTCTGATGCTGAATTCACAATGTTTCTTCTAGACTGCTAAGTAAACAGCTGTTAAAGCTAACATTGGCTATTTAGTGATAGCTTATAAAGGTGGCTAATTGTATAATGTTAACAATAGTATTAATAGTTTGATGAAAGAAAAGACCTGTGTGTGCAGTTCCTACATATACCACACTACCAGTATTACATGTAAACGGGAGGGCCTAATGAAAAAATGCTGTTGAGCTGTATTATGGGAAGTGTGTAGAATCCAGACTTTTAGGAGCATGACTCATACTAGAGACTAAAAGACAGAATACTTCAGCCTTTCCTGCACTGATTGACCTTCCTTTATTTTCTCTTTTTCTTCGAAAATTCAGTCTGTCTCTTGTTGGTCCCACAACCTTAGAGAGGTGCAGAACTGAGTCACTGCAGTGCCCTTTACGTTTGGTTTACATTTACTATTGGGTACTGCACATATAGCACACTGATATAGTAGTTATGTGATACCACAGAAGAAAGAAATTATTTCTGATGATTCATGGTGATTTATAAGACTTGGGACAACAACAATTAGCACATTAATTGATAAGTCAATCAACAGAAAATCAATGGCCAACTGTTCTGATAATCAAACCAATCACATAGACAAATGTCATCAACAAGATATAATGTGTTAATTAGTGAGCTTCCAAGGTTCTGGTAGGTAGACGTTGACACATTCAAATAGAGCAAGGCTAGCTTTTTCCCTGTTTCCATGCTAAGCTAAGCTAGCAGTCACTCTAGCCTTGTATTTAGCATATAAATATGAGTTTATCTCACTGGTACTGGCGTACTTCCCAAAATGTGGAGCTATTGAGTTAACCGCCCCTTGCAACCACTACTGCTAACCTCTTCTATGATGTTGACAGGACAAATACATGAGTCACTCCAGATTAGTAAGGTCGAAATAACAAACCCTTCCAAACAAAAAACGGCTTACAGCATATATCAGACTGAATTATCAGGCTATAGGAGATAGAAAATGTACAATAAATTCACCATGATTTCAGTGCTGAATAGCTTAGTCTCTGTGGGTAACATATCAGGATACCAATGGGAAAACTGATGTTTCGGTGCCATAGACACGCTATAACTCCCCAGAGCAATAGAATACAAATATTAGGGTAATTTTTCGTCAGACAGAGTTACATAAACAAACTTAAAAGCGCATGATGAATGATGTCTGTTGAAAAATAGTCCTTGCAAAAACACTTGCTGCCCCTGATGAGAGCCAGATGAAGTTTGGTGTGCTCAGTGAAAACTGACCCATCTCCCCTCATCTGGAATGAAGAAACAGCCGAGGAGAAATGGAGTGTATCAAACAAACGATGGAAACGACAGGAAGTCGTGCGCTGTTTTCGTCAGAGTCCGTGCCAGTGTTGATGATGCTGATACAGGGGAAGGGCAGCGGGAGGCGGACTAAGAAATGAGAAGCAGGAGAGGACGGGGGAGGCCCAACCTTGGGAGGGAGTTTGCGTGAGGAGACTTCCCAAACTAAAGCAGACGAAGCAGATCTACACGCGGGGACAGAGTCGAGGACAAAAAACTGTTTTACATCCTGTCATACACACTCTGGTACGACACTTGTGCACATCTTGATACGGAGAGATCCCTACAAGGACAAACTGGCTGACAAATGTAATGAGATTCATACAAGTCATGCAATAAAAAGCACCCAAAGGCATACGGCATGCACAAAACCACACAGAGCAAACACACTCCTCTGGGTGCTTGTCCTCTCTTATCGCTGAGGCTGAATGTGTGTGTGTTTGTGCCAAAGCAGCCAGGCACATGAAGGATGGTATACATACAGCTTTCCAGCTACATCTCCTCCAAAACAAAGGGAGCTTGGAACCGGTTGTGCACACACACACACACACTACACATAATGCCACCCAGAAAGACCTATAATAGGAAAAGTACGCAAGGCAGCTCAGGAATGTAGAACAGTGTCCAATGTTTAACCCGTCCTGTCCTCACCTAACCTTTAACTGTCTGCCTTTCTGTGTGTATCTATCCGTCTGTCCATCTACTGTCCATCTGCATCAGTCCACCCATCTCTCTTCCCGCAGCTACTGCACTGTTAAGCAGCCACCAGTCCTATATCTGACAGATGAATAAGAAGGAATGAGTGATAAATGGCCCAAAAGGCTAAATCCGAGCGGAATCAGTGGTGAGGCAGATATAAAAAGGAACCTCACAAGTGTATATTGTTTCATCATTTCCCTGGCTCCGTTTCCATCTCAGTATTTTATGCAAATTATGATGGATAGACTGAGAAAAGAGGAATGGACTTGACAAATTTTGATGGAGTCGCCTCAGTTTTCATGCTCGATTTGAGGCTGGAGGAGTTTGTTTTACCAGTGAAAAAATGATTTGATAAATAATGTTGGAAATATTTGCTGAATAACTGATGAGGTGAGCTGGGGCATTCTCACTGCACAGTGAGCTGACAAATGGCTTTGGGTAAAATGTGTGTAACACAGACACGATGCACGTCAACTGCTCTAAACATTGATCATTCCATGTAGAGTGCTGATAATTACGTGGCAATTTATATTGTTTGTCTTGTTGCCCAGAGTATAATTGATGTGAATTTTAAGTACAGAGATAGGTTTAAGTTAAGGGTGACAATATTTTCATCCCCCCAAATCAGGAACGTTCATGCAAGCGTGCATGTATGCGATTATGCATGCACTGTAGACATTTTCATGAGGCTGTGGGGATCTCTTAGCACCTACCGCGGGCAGAAAAGAAAGTTAGCAACCAGCTGGTGAACATGGTGGAGTATTTTAGTGCTCAATTTTCCAAAAAATAAATAGAAACAGCTTTATAGTCTGTGTATACACTACAGAGGTCAGGGATGCATTTGACCTAGCCAGTATAACTGCTACTAGTTAGTTGCTGCTATCATAGCTTTGTCAAACATGGTAAAAAATACAATTTCCAACAACTCAAAAATTCTGTTTTTTAAGTACAATAAGCCATTTATGGACTTCAGCACAAGGCATATGTCACAAAAAGCTAATGTCTTACACCTAACACCTACCTACCGCACCAATTTATTCACTGTCTCTTGTAACCTCAGCTTAAAATGTAAACATTGCAATCGTATTTTGGATCATTTAAGCTGTTTTATTGCCCTAACACTTAATTCCAAAATGTGCCAACCACAGTGAGAAAATTATAACTGTTGTTTGATCTAATCTAATGCAGAAC